AAATGTATAAGCAAAACGAATAGAATACTGAATGATATTAAATAATAGATTCCACGAGTAAGACATAAATAATTAAGCTATATGAAATGTATTTTGTGGATATTCCGTTTGCCTAAATGAAAATATTATTGGCTGATTTTCTAATATACCATTTGAAAAATATTTTATGAATTTTCAGATACTAAATATTAATAAAGTTCAAATGTAATATTTTTCAGAAAGATGATGCAATGAGGCGATTAAGCTAAAGGTTTTAGTTTTTAAAGCATTAAATGGTGTCTTGTTTATTTAACTCTGTCGATTTTAGGCCAATCAGCTGTTTGTAGCTTTCAGCTGACTTGAGGTCGCTTCTTGACAAAGCCAAAGTTTGATTCTATTTTATCTTCTTTCTACCAACTAAATACAGTGGGTCAATATACGTATGCTTTTTATCATTGTAAAAAATCTAAAACTAGTGGAATTCTTTTTATTCTTATTTTGCTTTACTTAATTTTATAAAACCTGGCAAATGCTAATGCAATTGCTATTCTTTATACTGAGGCTTCTTTGCTAATTGTGTGTTTTTAATTCAAGTTACCATCCATATCATTGGCAGCGATGAATAATGCTTGGCAGATCATTAATGTGAATGGAGATTTAGTTGACCAGGACGAGATTTCTAGCATTGGTAACGTTTTTTTTTCAATCCGATATTTATTTTCACTTTGTATCGCTAAATTTAGTACAAATTTATTTCAGTGAAAAATTCCTTAGTTTATCAAGTACTTATGCATAATTAATTGTAATTGTATCTTTTCGTTAGGATTTCCACGACATACGCAATCATTACCGTATATTTACACAGGGCCTAAAGTTAAGTATATAATATGAATGTTCTAACTTATTTGTATTATTTCACTTGTGATATGGTCTCGTTTGATAATAACTGGTAGGCCATAATGTTAAATATCGATTTTCACGTATTAAATCTATATTTCTCAGTGCATATATAGTGAATTTTTTGTCTATGATTTTGCACACGTTTATTTCTTAACTTTTTGTGGTGCGTTTGCATCTTTATTTAAGTTTATAAACAAGCAAATATATCAATTAAGAGTCCGTGTATAAATCCCTCTGTATACATGTTATTATTTCATGCATTTCGCCAATGTCCTGCTTACAAAACTTGACATTTTTTTATTTTTGCAAAGCATATTATTCTTTTACGTCGATATTCTATAATTTATTTATATACATTTTTGACTGAGCCTTTTCATTTGTGATCA